CCCCCCCCCCCCCCAATTACACGCTTATGTGTTTAAGAATAGCACACTCGGATTTGTGTAGATCTAGAAAATGTTCGAGCATTAATAAAAAGTCGCGCATATATATAATTCTCTTATTATTTATTGAATATCCAAAGAAGTAAGGATAACATGCCAGAGAATTAATCTCACTATAAAAACTTTACGTTATTTATAGACATATACACAAGGACAGAAAACATGAATAACCTAATTACATATATTGTAGCAAATGATAGTAACGTGTATAAGTTGAACCATTTGCAGATACACGTTGAAACTTACAGATCGATACTCGCGAGTGCAGTCAATGGAACAAAAGTTATAACACATCGAGAAAAATACTTGAAGAAAATTTATTTTTTTAGAATATAAAGTTTATTTCTGATAAATAAGACTTATTTTTGTGAATAAACTTTATATATTACAAATAAATTCCCAACTATTCTTCTCTCTGTGTACTAAGAAAAATTTCTTTGTAAGATATTCACAAAAATAAACTTTACTAAACTCCCACAAATAAGTTTACAAATATTTTTGTTCTCTGTGTACTCTCTTACTTTTACGAATTTCAAAACGCAATAATAATTTTTCAATAAAAAATCCAGTACTCAGTAGAAAAATTTGTCTCTAGGAAATTGCAAGAAACAATTCATCTGCTGGATACAGGAAGCGTTTTAAAATTTATCGAAGTAAAAGTGTCGCGGTAAACCGACATTTTCCTCGCCGGTAGTACATTTCGCAGAAAACTCATGATTCTCGCGCGTATATCAGTATGTAAACGAGCAAGATCACGGTATACGATACTTCGTCAAACGAAGGAAGAAATCCGCCGAGTAACGGTGATAACGATAACAATATGCAATGGCGAATAATGCAGCAACTTTTTCAAGCATGTTGTGCGCGATACAACTTTTTATGCGGATGCATATTATTGCATGCGTATATGTCACATATACAAACATATTTACAAGAACATATGCGCACATAATTAATATACACGCATAAATTTACACGAATTTCTCTTACGGACATGTAGTAAATTAATATACATGTGTAAACTAATAAACACGTATCCACAGATACATGCGTGTAAAACGCGCTATTCATGAATCAGATACGAGTTTATGGAACGTATAATTGGCCAATAATTTTATTAATTATCGAAATAACTTTTCGACGTCACATAAAGCATATTTCGCACTTCCGCACTTAACATATTGTGCACCGCAAAAGGAGGATATCTCGTCTTCCTCTTGAGTGATATCCAACAGATGCAAATAAAGCAGTGAGAAAAGACTTGATTTGCTAGAAATGAGGCTTATCTTTATGAAATAAAGTTTATATCTGTGTAAGATGAAATTTATTTCTGTGAATAAACTTTACATCTCGCAAAGAAAAATTTTTAAGCATATTAAAACAAAAGTATAATGAAAATTTATTTATGGGATATAAATAAATGGTTTATTCTTGTGAAATAAAGTTAATTTAATTTCTATAAAATAAAGTTTATTTCCGCAAAATAAACTTTCTTCTCACACACACGCATAAACAAATTTTCAAGTTTTTTTTTTATGTATCTTGTTTCTTCAGTACATTAATCATCACAGGCGGCTACATTGAGAGAAAAAAATACTATACAATTTTCTTCAATATTTATTTAATATAAAAAATTTTGGCTATAAAAAATAAAGAAATATATATTTTTGTGAAATATATATATATATATATATACCTAATTTTTCACATAAATTATAAGAAAATTTTCGTTTCATTTTTGTTAGAAAAATTAATTTCTTTTAAGCAAACTTATTTTTTTATAGCAATCAAATATTTGTATATATATGATCTTTATGGATGAATTATTTATTTCTGAAGATTAAATTTATCTTCCAGAAATAAATCTTTATTTCTCAGTATTTATTTCCGACTGACTCGCATTGCATTATATAATATGACGGACGGAATATATATTATCATTATATCGTCGTTTCACGCCTATTAGTAAATTAAAAGACAAGTTGAAACAGTTATTAACTATATTTAAAACGCATTAATAGTATAATTACATTTACAACGCGAGAATTTAAGTTTATTGTTTATTGTTTATTGTTTATTAACGAGAATTTGAATTTAAAGTGAAGTTTATTTGTTAGAAATAAAAGGTTATTTTGCCGTATTTAAATAAGTTTTAATTCATCCAAAAAGAAAATCCAAAAAAATTTTATATTCCACAAATAAATTTTCAAGATGCCGAATAAAGGAACAATTTGAGACGCCGGAAATTACGCTCCGTAACGTGGCGTGGATTTTATGAGAATGTTTTTAGTTTTTTAATTTAACAGATTAAAAACAGTCATGGTTATTGGCACTAGCCGGCATTATCGCATGTCATTAAGTGACATTTCAACTATAATTCATCACATTAGAAATAAATAACTGCTATTAACTGCACGGCTAATAGAGAGACAATTAAATAAGATAAAACGTGATAAATACGTGATTAAAATACACGAATTAAATTTATTTGCCGTACTTTTGTAAATGCAATAATTCAGCGGTAAATCTTTCGAACAATCGACGCGGCGGTCAATGTGTTTAACAACTTACGCAAAGCAATGAGTTTGAAAATTTATTTGCGGGAAACTAAGTTTGTTCGCAAAAATAAACTTTATTTCACAGAAATAAGTTTTACTTCACAGAAATAAACTTTATATCCAACAAATAAATTTCCAGTTTTCTTTCAGTAAATATTTACAGTAAACATATGCATAAACATTTATGCACACTGAGAAAAAATACTTGAAAAATTATTTGTGCAATAAAAGTTTATTTCATAGTCCCAAAGTTTATTTTACAGAAGCTAACTTTATTTCGCAAAAATAAACTTTATATCCTACAAATAAATGTTCGAATATTTTGTTCTCAGATCTGTAATCAAAGTTGATTGTCGTGTTACAGTTTCTGTGAATCATGCAATAAATTTTTTTTAAATATAAATTAAATTTATATGTGGATCATTTATAAAGAATTATTTATATAATTTTCATATAAATTTAATTTATACAAATTTATTTAATATAAATAAATTTATACGAATCACATACTTATAAATAATTATTAAATTATTCGTACAGATATTTTTTATAAATTTAATTTATATATATATATATATATTTATATAATATATATATATATATATATATATATATTTATATAATATATATATATATATATATATA